TTAAAATTTAGCATTGAAAACCTCTAGTATGGAAGTGAGAAACCCAACTTTGCCTCTCAGTCTGACTTAAAACAAGTTTCCTAAATTCACTGTACTTTACTTGTCTTATAAAACTAAGTGGTTGGGATAGATCAGTGATTCTCAACCCTGGGTGCACACTTGAATCATCTGGGGAGCATTAGAAAAGTAATAATGCCCAGGGCCCACCCTAGAGCTTAATTTTTAAAGGACTCCAGATTAATGGAATCAAGTGTAGAAAACCAATGGGCTAGATGATCATTAAGGTTACTTTTGCCAAAACTTTCTAATTTTATATTCATTGTGTTTTGACATAGTAACAATTGCTAGAGATAACAATATTTTCAGTTTTTGTATGGCCTAAAAAGTAGAAATTACCCTCAAATACTGTTTCAACACAAAATTGAGAATATTTTCTCATTTGTACTTCAAAATTTTCTGTTCTATGGGAGTAATTTACACCAAGAGCCATATATACATCATTTATTTGGGTGTAACATACACATTAAAATAGTACAGGGGCACCTGGGTGGCTCAGTCAGTTAAGCATCCCACTCTTGATATCAGCTCAGGTCATGATCTCACAGTTCATGAGAATGAGCCCCGTGTCAGGGCACTTTCAGTGTAGAGCCTGCTTGGATTCTCTCTCTTTCTCTCTCTCTCTCTCTCTCTCTCTCTCCCTCCCTCCCTCTCTCTCTCCCTCTCTCCCTCTCCCTCTCCCTCTCCCTCTCCCTCTTTCCTCCCCCTCTTCTCTCTCTCTCTCTCTCTCTCTCTTTCTCTCCCTCTCCCTCTCTCTCTGCTCTCTTTCTCTCCAAATAATTTTTAAAAATAAATAAAAAATTAAAAAATACAGATTCAACTAATTTTTAGATATTAATGACCATTATGATGGGAAACAATTGCTTTCTTTCAGTACACATTCATTGTAAAAATAGTATACTCAGAGGTTGTGTGTAGATTTTTTTGAATTGTCGTTGTATCTATGTTGATTTTGGAGAAATGGAGTATTAATATCCTAAAAGATAATAAATCTCCTAAAGTGTATAACTTATTCATAATAAATACTTTATGCATTGATTTATTATGAAACAGAATAGACAGTTTTATAAAAGAATGATTCAAGTGAAATGCCTGGTTGTATTGATACGTTAAAAGGTAAAAGTTTCATTTCGTGAAATGTGTCACTAAGTTTTTTTCTATCAGGTTTTACTAAGCAACTTTGTCACAGGGAACAGAAAATTTTTTCTGTAATCTTAAGTACTAATGAATAGTCACATATTATATTGTTTAAAACTCCCATGAAATCAAGAACCCAATGATATACTCAGATCCAAAAAGAAACCAGATAGATTGTTAGGAAATTTGGGAAAGGTCTCAAATAAATATTAAGCTAGAAAGTAATGGATTTTGTGTCTCATATTTTCACAGAATTCTGTGCTTGTGGGTATGTACGTTTGAATACTTTGTCCAGGCAGACTCTTCTTTTAGCCAGCCTAATAATAGGAAGAAGGAGAAGAGGTACAGATGACAGCTAACAGCTAACATGGGTGAATGTAGGTGTAACCAACAAAGAATGTGCTGGCTGTATGGAATTTCTGCAGGCCTAGTTATTTTTGAAAGCTATTTGAAATAAATTTTAATGCCCAGAAAAGACATTGTTAACAGGAAATATTTGATTTTCAGTATAATATGTATATCTGTATCATCATTCTATGTTCACTTCTGACATCATCAGTCTGTTTTCCTTATTGTATCTTTACTGTTCATACATATTTTGTTGTATTTGTTTGCCTTATTGATGGAAACCTGGAGTTAGTAACTAAAAACAATTCACAGATAAACCATTAATCATAACATGCAAAACTATGACATTGGAAGGATATGACTGCTGGAATAGTCCACATGTTTGAAAATCTTGTTCTTTGCAGACTGGGGAAGTATTTTGCTTCACATTAGCTCTACCAAATATCAGTTTGCTTTACGAGGTCTCACTGAAATCAATCAGACACATGTACCATGCTTTCAAAGAATTTTGTATAGTAGGAATAAGCTATGAAATGTTTGAAAATACAAATGACACATACTATAGGTTTTGTAATAATAATGACATGTATGCTTGTATTTAAAAACTTTGGGGCGCCTGGGTGGCGCAGTCGGTTAAGCGTCCGACTTCAGCCAGGTCACGATCTCGCGGTCCGTGAGTTCGAGCCCCGCGTCAGGCTCTGGGCTGATGGCTCGGAGCCCGGAGCCTGTTTCCGATTCTGTGTCTCCCTCTCTCTCTGCCCCTCCCCCGTTCATGCTCTGTCTCTCTCTGTCCCAAAAATAAATAAACGTTGAAAAAAAAAATAAATAAAAACTAATTTATAAGAGTTTATATGGTTTTAAAATATCAAGAGGTTTTATGAAATAATATAAAGTATAGTCTGAGAATGGCATCATGTTTTTTTGCTCAGCTTCTACCAAATGTAGAAGTTGGGTAATTGCCTCTGACCTTTCAATATCTTCTCCACTACTCATCTCCAAATCCTGATGTTCTCCTATCAGATGCATTATTTTGTATTTTATACCTTGTTTTAAACCAGGAAGTGCACATTATACTATACTCAGTCACTCATATTATTATTAGTTTAATCACATAAAGTCAACAAAGGGAAAATAATTACAAAGGAAGGTAGGGACATAGGCTAGGTAGTAGCCTCAGGAAGGTGCACATGAAGAGGGGATCTGTGAGATTTGAAGCATTTCATGCTTGGGGTGGAGTGAGACTGGTGTCACTTACTTTCCAATTTTGCCTGAGGCTGGGCTAGGTCAGCAATGCAATCATTGTACAAACAAAACAGACTAAATTGACCTACTTTTCTTAAGATGTCATATAAAATTTACATGATCTTCGGAGTCTAGCAGCGTTGTATTGAACATAGACTTTATATCTGACAGCCAAAGTTTAGTGATGCTAATATTTTCTTGAGTAAACAAACTTTCATTACCTGGATATAAATATATAACTGTCTCATATGAGGTCTTATTTACAGTAAAGTTTTTCCTTATTAAGACTTTGTTTTATTTGTCATAGCTACATAATGTGAAAAGTTTAAGTACTAGACTCCATCTTGAAAGCACAGATATAGCATTAAAGTAGAGCTGCCATCCAGGCTGAATAATGCAGAGGTTATGTTTTAAAACACGTCAGATTCCCTTAACTATATCTTTCTTCTTTAAACTTTAATCAACTAAGATAAATGCTTTTCATTTGGCCTTAACTGTTTGTCTCAAGAAGATAGAAGACAGATAGTTAATGAAATAAATTGAAGTGCTGCTATGGTTAGGAAGAACTGAAATTTAATACTGTTGCAGTTGGTTGAAGGTATAACTGATATATATTTTTAAATTTGTCATGGCTGCATGACATCATGAGAAAGAAAAGAGACCTCCTAATTTTGAATTGGTAATACTTAAAATTCTTTGGCTGAACTTAGGTAAATATTTTATGTAGTCCTCTTCAAATGCAGTGTATTCCTTCTTAAAAGAATTTGTAATTAAGAGTATTTTGAGTCATGAATATTAATGATACAAAAATCACAAATACTAGAAACATTGCTTCTAGATACCAAAAAGCATAGTGTGAATTATATTCTGTAGCTCATCTTGGAGGTTCAACTGTCACAGAAAAGCCTCTCTCATTGAAATCTCTCAGAAATATACTGCATACATATTTAACCCAATAGCTTTAGGCATTCAAGGATAGAGTAGGTGAAATCAAAAGTATCCTATCAAAATTATGTGTTATTTCTTCAAATTTTAGAGTAGTTTTTAACACAGATAATAACGTGGTTTGAAATTAAAACACACACATACACAGGTTTGCTAGTTAGTTTCCATACCTGGGGGAGGGGAGGTGAAAATTGGTGCATTCAGTATATAACACGTGTAATGGTAATAAAGTTGATTGGTCGAACTCTGTAGCTTTTTTTTTCTTTTTCTTTTCTTCCTCTTCCTGTAGAGTAGCTCAGTTGGGGGTGGAAGGGTTCTCCCCCCATCTTATCCCCCTACTAAGAAAGCGTAGGTTGATACCATTTTTATTGTTCTGCTGGGGTGGGAAATAAACCATATGCTTTAGAATTTTGAATGACTAGACCAAAGGCAAAATTGAAGCAGGCCCTCTTTCCCCCTTCCTACCGGACTTTGGGGTATGGTTATTCTTCCAAATGTTTTAGCAGACTTGGTGTTAGCTTAGTGTTTCTACTCCAGGGCAGATAGGCAGGTCAGGAGAAGAAATGTCAAGGGTTTCAGAGGCGTGTTGGGCTGAATGAAGTGTGGAGTGGGAAGCTTATGTCTGAAACCTACCCCTCCCCTGGATACCAGGCAAAGGCAATGAGAGTCGTAACCAGCTGATGCCGCTGCTGCTGCTTCCCGTTTCCAGGGTGAAATTTTCACAGCAGCTAATTCTAAAGGGAGGAAAAATCCCTAACCAGCAAAGGAAAAGATCCTATCACCCAACCCAAGCTATATAACCTTTTAGGCAGGCTTTTCAGAGAAATCCGCATTTTAAAATCCAGCGTTCACGATCCAAAAATACGGACGAGAATCAGAGCTGGTATGAAAATCTGAAAAGCCTCTTTACACTCTGAGTGTTTGAAACGATCCGATGAGCATAGGAAGTGGCTGCCAACGCTCTGGCGGCTGCTCGTGCTGCCACCGCCGCTGCTGTTCCTCGCAGAGGGCTGGACAGAGCTAGTCCCGGTTTCAGCACCTCCGGCGCTGGACAGCTCTTCTGCACGCTCCTGCTTGCTTTTTCCAAACACTCTCGCTTTGCATTACTGGAGATGCATCTAAATTACGTTCTGTTCAACAACAAGTAGATTTTTTTTTTTCCTGACGGGAATTACAGTAGACGATTCTCTCAATTAAACTGCATTTTCTTCTTTACGGATTTGGCCGTCAGGCGTATTTATCCCGATCTCCCCCCCACCCCCCCTTTGCAGGAACGAGTCTTTGGGAACGTGGTCCACCCAGGGATGTAAAACTGTGCTTACCGATGCATCCCATACGAAATGCTTATGTGATCGTCTCTCTACCTTCGCCATTTTGGCTCAGCAACCTAGAGAAATAGTAAGTAACAAAGGGAAAACAAGGCTTTAATGCAAAGGCAGGGACATTGTGGCGAGGGTTTCTCCAGGGAACTGCATTTTAAAAGGGGAAATGGAAAATGTTGCAGGGTGGCAAAATTGGGTTCGTCTCCTCCTTAGCTTCAGTAGCTTGGTAAAATGAATTCTAGTTGGTGTGTTATAACTAAATACTACTCAATTTTATGTCTTCTAACTTGAAATTTCTGCAGTATAGTTTTGAGGATGTACTCCATCATATTACTAATATGCTGCAAACTTTCAAATAAAAATAATTGCCAACTTAACCTTTATTTTGGAACTGAAAAGCTGGTCTGGGGAATTTGTAAGAATACTGTTGGTAATAGAATGAAGACCCCAGACACTATAAGCCAAACATATTGCATATCTGCATTGGGTATTTTCAGTACAGGTTTTCTGGGGGTGTCCTTGGATATTTATTTTTAAAAAAACAAATGAAGTTTTCATGAAAGCACAGACTGCCTGAAACTGTAAAATCATTCCTTAAAAGTGTAAGGCTTGTAAAAAACTAGTTTCTGAAATAGACAGCTGCATAAACTATCTAAAAGAAAAATAATATCCTCATAAAATGCAGTTTGAAGATTATTTCAAAAATTGAAATATTGAAAATAATTATTTAGATGAATGTGACTTTCTGTCTAAATTTGGCCTAAATATGCCTCACTCTTCTTACTTATTTTGATGACAGAAATACATAATATAATTTAATGTGCATACCTAAGGTTTGGAATACACTTGATCTTAAAGTGTATTTCTTCAAACTTCGAGTATTAAAAATAAGAAAAACAATAGATTTCATTAGTTAGTATCATGTTAGTGTCTAAAGAAAGAAACCTCTCAAATCAGTGACTGCTTATAATCTTTATATATGTTTCAAAATATATAAGGCTTATTTGTCAAGGTCATGTATTTCAGGGACTGATACTGGCATTATGAAAATCATCTCTGCATATTTCGTTAGAAATATAGAAAAAAACCCACAAAATATGTTTTAAGTTCCTGATTTTGAAATCTGATTTTCTTCTATATCCTTAGAGGCCAAGCAAGTGAAATTAAATAAGAGAATACTTGACTTAGAACAAAGTTGTCAAAAGTCAGAAAGTTTGAACAATTTTCAGTATCTAGGCACCAGATTGGGGAAGCAATGAGTTATAAATGAGAAGATCAAAGTAAATTTTACCCAAAAACATATTGTGAAATAACTGAACTATAGTTGTTGAATAAAAATGAATGCAGCTTCAAATTTCAGCTAGAGAAAATTTAACATGTGAATATTCACCATAGTTTTAGTTTTAGTAATTTGTTGTAGAAAACCATAGTGGGTAGTATGCCATAATCAAGCATTTAAAACTCTCAGGCCTTTATTACTTCACAGTGGGAGAGAGGGGGGAGCTAGAATTAGTCATTTTAGAGGTTGAGAATATATGAACTGAGTGGTTACTGGGTAATTATCTGGTAACTATAACAACTCTATTGGCTGTTTTTGAGTAGGATAGGGTAGTTTTGCTGAGTTTAGAAGTTATTTTAATTTATGAAAACATTATCTCTCCTTTTTTTGTTTCTTTTGTTTAATTTACAGATCATGGAATCCTCTGGTACACCTTCAGTTACCCTAATAGTAGGCAGTGGCCTTTCTTGCTTGGCCTTGATCACCCTCGCAGTTGTCTATGCAGCATTATGGAGGTATGTAATCAATTAATGCACTTGCACTGGAATGCTCTGTTACTCAGATTAAACCTGGCAATATGATCATCATTATGTCTCCTTTTTAATTTACTGAAAGAAGTATTTTTAGAGCAGAGTTATTGCAGTGATTGAGCCATAATAAATGAGCTTAATAATAAATAAATAAATAAATAAATAAATAAATAAATAAATAAATAATAATAAAAGTTCTTACTAAATTTCTTGTCTGTATTTGCCTATGATGAGAAAATAAACAGAACAGACACACTTTCCTTCCCAATTCAAATGATGGTAGCTTTCAACAAGTTGCTTATCCTCAAACATGGTATCCGTAATACTCCAAGTTTAGTCTATGTTTGTTTCTATTTATCTCAATTGCCATTGAGCTTTAGAGTTTAATTGGTACAGCCAAAGTAATATCTCTGTTATATAAATATGTTCTCCAAATTCTTAAGTTTTAAGTTTTAAACTTAAGAATTTAAGCACATGCTTTCATTATATCCCAGACAATGAGTAAATCTTCTGTATTATTAATACACAAATACCACAATGCTATAGGAAAGTCTTGTGGTTGAATGTTTCCAAAAAGCCATATTTTGGCAAACTGATTACAAGTGAAAAATACATAAACAAGGGCATGTAATTGAAAAACTTTGTTCTACAGTATTTGAAATTGCATCTGCTTGATAGTGCATGGAAATTTAGTATTTCTCTAAGATGTGTTCTATTAATAAAAATTAGACCTGTGTATTTTAGACATTATATTATATCTGTTCACATATTGGTAAACTGTACCTAACCAAATGGCCAAAGTTCCAAATGGATTTAAAAATATTAAGTGTGAGACATTTTTATATCCATCTTGATTATTAAAAAATGTCCCCAAATTGGTTGTTATATTAGTAACTAGATAATTGTATATTATTTCCTGAAAACTTGTAATATTAAAATTGCACAAGTAGCTAGTCCTTGTGGTTTACTGTTACTTAAGAACAATTCAGTTGAAAAAGTAATTATAATTTAATAAAGAAATGTCATTTCATTCAACATCCTTTCAAAAAACTAATTGTTGTCCATCATATTTTATATTCTTTTAAGGATAAGAATTAATTTTCCAGGATATTAAATTGTCAGAGATACTAAAATTTTCATGCTTCAAGCAAAATATGTACACATTCTTGCTCCATTGACATAGGTACATAATAGAGGTTCTGCCTTCCTGTGGAGGAGTTATCTGGTAGTAAAACACTGACAGAGTGAGACTATCTGATAAAATATGGCCAGTCCCATGGAATGGCCTAGGCACGGTGTTGTAGACAATAGAACCCAGGCTTCATTGGTCAGTCAAGCAGACATTGCCCTGGTAATACAAGAACAAAATGCACAAAGGCTGGGAAAAAGACACCTTTGTCTTCCACAATTACCTAAATGGCACTTTTCAGAAAATGAGGCAGTGTTTAAGGGCCAGGACGTTAGGTAATCACAACTGCGTCATAATTCATACTCACTGAAGTATTTAGAACTAAGTTCCATTTCTCAATACTTAGGATTCAGTCACCAATTCCAACTTCTTTTCTCCTCTCAATACTTATAGTCAAACTAGCAAAACCACTGCCAGTATAAATGATATATAAGGAAATACAGGATTAACTAGTCTGTAATAAAGTTTTCTTTAATCCAGAAAATCCAGAGAAATCACCTATGAGTTTTCTAAGAATTACTCAAACACCTGAAAGGATCTATTAAAACTTGATGTGAAATTGAGAAATTTAGAAGACAGTACTAAGAAACAACATAAATTTTGATTCCTAAAATTTAGTTGCTAATCAACTCATTCTCTACGAATAGAATGATTGAAATAATATTAATAGATTTATAGAAGTTTCAAGATCATAAATTATTGAGTGAATCTTGTAGCGTGACAAATTTAATGAATTTTATAAACATTAAATTTACCTTACATTACTGGATGGTATTACTGTATGGTAATACTCATTTTTTTTTCTAATTAAAAAGTATAAATTTTTAAATTTTCCAATGATTTGCAAGATGTATGACATCAGAATTATTTTATATATAAGATAGTATTTTGAAAATTGGTATCCCTTATAGTTCATTAGAAATGTTCATCAAAAAGTTAATACACTAAGTTCTCTTCATTTACAAATATGTTCTGTAGAGTTATATTATTACATCTAAGAACACCTGAGCATATCTTTTTAATCCGTGTATTGAAATGATGCATTTACAAATTTTGTTTAAAACCCCAAATATGTTTATAAAAAGTTTTGGAAGTTGAGACATTTTATAGAAATTTTTAAAGCAATAATGTGACTCAGTATTGATGAATAACAGAAACATCTGAAGACTCTTCACGGTGGTCAGTCTGGGTCTTTTACCACTACGATTTTCCTATTTACAGAGCAAATGATATCACTGAAACCCTTTTAATAATGTCATCTGTGTGCTTATGTTGTCATGAAAGCCATTTACATATAAAGGGTCAATTTTTTGCAGCCCTTAAACTTTATGTGTTATATCTCCCACTCACGAAAGAAGAAACAACTTAATATTTGATGATGTCTTTAGCTTCCCAGTGTGTGGTTTATTATATTTTTAGATAGTGATGATGCAGGGACAAGGTTAAGCAACTCTTGAAGACATTTTGTATTGAGAATTGTCCTAGGTTATTCCTATTTGGGTTTGTTTTATGAAGAAAGGAAATTTTTTCATACTGAAAAATTGCTTTTTGTATTTTATTGTTACTTCTGTTTTCGTTTTGCTTTCTCTTCTGAAATATATGATGGAATGTGAGGCTTCTGCCTAAATATTCCTCAAAGACAGAGATAGAGAAGGAACTTTGATAGATTTTACTTTCCAAAGAGTGCCTCCAGATCTCTGGCACCCCCATCTGACACTGCACAGGAAAGCCCACACCTGCTGTGGAGAGTGATTCCATGTTCTAATACAAATTGAACAATCTCAAACACACAGCAAGTACAAGTATGTCTTTTTGTTACTGTCACTCAGTAATTTACCGCAAGGTACAGTAGAGCAAAATAACTGTTACCCTTTCAGGGTAAGCAGCTGGTAGAACATTTGATTCTGATCCGTTTTCTCTGTGGCTTACATTCTTGGTGCGTGTAAAAATTATATAACAGACTGTATATAAACATTCCTTCATAAGGGTAAAACATGGCAGACACCAAGTAGTTTTCCAGCCTGGTGGTGAATTATCATTTGTGGATTGGACTAGTTTTTGGAGATGAAGATTAAGTTTTTTGGTTTTTTTGCTTTGTTTTATTTTGTTTTGGTTTGGTTTTGGTTTTGGTTTTGGTTTGCTTTTGGAACAATTAGAAAAGAAAAATATAAAGAGTAGAAGATGACATAAAAATACTTGAGTGTATGAAATGGTAGATGAGTGTTCATGGTTTCATGAAAGTAATGGCTGCTTTCTAGAAACAAAGGAATACTTGAGAATCTATGTGGGATTTTTTTCCTTTTGGTTCTCAGATTTTCTATTGATTTTATATGATAATAAGCATATTATATATACATATAAATAATGGTAATTATAGTAATTGATATATGTCCAAGAAATTTTATATTTTTAGTAAAAAATTATATTGATAACAGATGTACCACTTAGACTCTGTTAGAAATGCCATGTTGTGTACACTAATGTCTAAAGAAAAAAAATTATTCTAAAGGACTCTAGGACATGCCATGTCACTATAAAATTGGGTTTCTAAGAATAATCTTTATTAAAAAAAGTTTTTCATATATTTTATTCTATGAAGGATATATTTTAGTGTTTCTTTTCTGGATGAATTTCACCAATTTGCATAATTCATAATTCTTCATCTTCTGAATTTTAAAGTTGAACACTCTCTCTTTCTGGCTAGGTACATACGCTCTGAGAGGTCTATAATTCTAATTAACTTCTGCCTGTCTATCATCTCATCCAACATCCTCATACTGGTTGGACAGACTCAGACACATAATAAGGTACGACTGGTAATTATTCTGATTCTATATGTGTGTTTATGTTTTGACATAAAAGTTGATTATTGAAAATCTAAACATTCTAGATAAAATGGAGAACTTCTGATAAAAATTATTTTTAAAAACAAAATTATTTCATTGCTTACTAAATAAAAGTATTGCCTAATCTAGACTAGAAATACATTCCCTTGGTTTAATTTCCTGGGGATTGAGAGGCTGTTTATAATAGTAAAAATATGTTTGTTAAGTATTATATCAAAGCTCTGTGAGTTCAAAGCCTTGGAACATCAAAAGCACAAATTTTGATTCATTATCCTAATTGCAAATAGAATTGCCCCTGTTTTGGTCTACTTTATTAACACACTGATTCCTAAAAGCCAACTATAAAATGCTTACAAGTATAACGTAGAACATGAACATCTACCCAAAAATTATCTATTGCAATAATTGAAGACAGTATTAGCTAAAAACACTAGATTTTATGCTTTTCAAAAAGCTTTACTTAACCAAAAAGCACTGATACTTAACCACCATTGCAGTTCTTTATGTGAACAGTTACTTTCAGCAGAATGTAAAAGTATAGGTCCTATTTACAAGAACTGACTTGAATTGAATGATCATGTTTTTTTCCAGACATGACTGTCAGCTCTCTTTACTAAACTACTCTGAATGCATTGCAAGAAACCCATATAGCAATCTTTAATTTACCCCAATCTCAAAGGAATTCTGGTAAACATTGCTTTGATAATATTTGTTGATTAATCCAGGCCCGTTGTTTTTTTTCAGCTTTTTTATTGTCAAGTGCTAAAGCCAGTTATTGAACTTTTTTAGAAGCTATAATTAAAAAAAAATCTAATACACTTTTCAGCATGTCTTTTTTGATAGATCAGATTTTTGTAGGACAGGTATCAATGTGAAGAATTATAGCCGGTCTATTTTGCTAATCTCCGCTCCTAAAACTGCTGATTTCCACCAAAGAATCCAAAGAATCTGATTTTGGATCTGGGTAGGTAGGACCTAGGAAGTTCTTTAGGTGATTCTGATAGGATTTCTTCTTGAACCATATTAGTCTAGGCCAGGGGGAGAACCCAAGGGGGAATCACTAACCCTGAAGGACAAAACAAAAACAGTTAACAACCCAATAAAGGGCCCTGTGGAAGTGAAAAAGTACTTTCATGTACTTGAATATTTAGTTTTTCTCCTATTTAGGACTATAACATGAATTAAAACAAACAACAAACATATATAAGAATATGAAAAGGGAAAACAAGAAGAAAGGATAAAGACCAAAGGTGAGGAAGATGCCAGACGGAATTAGGAGAAGAGAAAGAAATGTACAAAATAGCCAACATCGGAGAAAGTGGGTGTAAACACTGGTACAAACTGGAAAGGAGAGGAAAAGTGAAGGGAAGTAAGGAGAGATGGAGAAAAGATGGAACTGTAAACCCTAAAGAATTACTAAATTACTCATCTCACCCTTACCTTTTTGACTGTTTACCTGGGCGGGGCTTCAGATCCCTTAGAAATGCTCATTTACTTGTTAAAACCTATTTACAATTCTTTGTCCTTGAGACTAGAGGTAGAAAAGCAGAGCTTTTCCTCTGAAATAGGAATTATTTATTGGGTTAGGAATCAGAAAAAATCAAGCTGTGGTAGCTTAAGCCCATAGTTTGAAGTCTTTGGTTTTGCTTTGTTTTGTTTTCACCCAAGCCCCCCTTTGCTCTATCATTGTTTACCCTCTTAACACTCATTAGAATTTGGAAAACTACCGGATCTTCAATACAAAATGTGCTTTTAAAACTGTTGCGTGCTGTATGGCAAAGTTTTTACAAGTGCTGAGCCCAATGTTTAAATGGTAGACTTTTTCGCAAGGTTTACTACATATTACAGTGATGATTGTCTAAATCATTCCTATCCAATAGTAATATAATAATGTAAGCCACAAATGCAAGTTATGTATATAATTATAATATTAGCCAGCTTAAAAAAGCAACAAGAATTACTTTTAATAATTAATTTTAAAAATATATTTAACTTAGTATATCCAACAGATGGCCATTTCAACATACAATTAACATTTTTGGGTCTTAATACAATATTTTGTAATAATTTTTAAGTCTTCGGAATCTGATGTGTATTTTATACTTATAATACATCTCAGTTCAGACTAGCTGCATTTCAAGTACTCAGCAGCTATATGCAGCCAGTGACTACCATATTGTGTAGGTCTAAATGGTAATAATATTCAGAAACTAGTCTAGAAATTACATGATTCTTGCCCATTTTGCCTTTCCCAGCTTTTCAGTGTCCTTGTTTTTTGATAGAGATGTCTTTTTGATATTTACAAATATTAGGAACATCAAAGGCAGGATAAGACAAGTCTAATTTTACTTTTCATTTCTGATTATAAAGAATGGCTGATATGGGCTTAAAAAAAATAGTCGCCTCAGGTAATTAACCACAGAGTAGATTCCATGTGGTTTTGGGATCATGGTAGTTTTGTTCCAGATAGCCTATGCTAATTTTTGCTGCCACAGTTATGCTTGTGGGGAGGAGGGTTTGGTAGGTGGTAGTAATGGTGAAGAAAATGAGAAAGTACTGGTTTTCTCTTATGCTATGTTAACTTTGCTTTACTGCCCTCTGAGTAGATGATTCTGCAAGCCTAGAACAATTCACTAATGCATTGTGACTAGAAGGGAAAAATGTAAACAATGGAATTTTGTTTTTAGCCATTCTTAACAATACCAAGTTTCTGGGGAAAATAATGTATTTTATCATGTGCTAATTAAATTAAATTGATCCTACTTCATTGATCCTATTACATTTTTAAAAGGTAATATATTGATCAGTGGCTACAGCATTTTATTTAGGTTGTGTGTAGGACCCCATTGCTGCTATGGGCGTTTTGTAATTGATCAGGTTCCTATCTTTGACTTCCTTGGTCAGTTTTGATGGATGCTTTAATATTCTTCATTTGGAAAAATGGAAACACGTGAGAGTTTCTTGATGCACAAGTTATTTGGTGCTGCCTCTGAGAGTTGTCATGGCCAGTTTGTGTGAAAACTGCTATTTGGTGCTGATCCAGAATAGTTTTGCAGTGTCATACTGGGGTCTTTCTCTGAACTGCTTGTTGAAATATGATAGACTCAGTTGTGTCACTACTGAGTATTTCTTTTGAGTTGGGATAGAAACAAACTGAAATAATTCATTATTTAAAGTATGATGTATTCAAATCTTTCAGCTATAGAGTCAATTATTAGAAGCAAAGTAAGGAATCAAATGTAATTTCTTATATCTCTTAAAATACATTTATACAATTTAGTGATAACTCACTTCATTATAGTTCATTATATTTCACTTTCTCATAAGGGGTCATTGCCTTCTAATATCTTTGTGTAATTTCAACCAGGATGTTCATATATCACTGAAATGTTATTGTTTGTGAAGAATTTCCTTGGTACCCTAAAGTAGGCAATTTTTTTTTGAACCATGTAGACTCTTTTTGGTCCTACTGTTTTGCAGAAAACAAAGATTATTTTGGAAACATATATTCAGAATATGGTTTTCTTAATCACAAAATATATCCCCGCTTCTTTCTAAAAGACTTTGAAATGATGTATGATATTAAAGACTTCGTGGAATTCTTTTTAAAAAGTGATAAAAGCCAAGTTTAGCAAAACTTTTTTTTTTTCTTGGTTAGACAACAGTAGCCATCCAAGAACTTTAAAATGCTAAGAGATAGCTTCTTTCCCACAACCTCACTACCAGGTTATACTGAAAGCAAGTCAAGTCCAGATTCTATCATATAGTTAGATATTTTTTAGATAATTGTTTTAGCAAATCAGGAACAAACCTGTTCTATAAGCTTAGTGAAAATCCTAGGGCCTTGTTGTTTTAGGTACTTTGGCCACACTTTGTGTGCAGCATTCACTTGAGGTAGACATAGGAACAGTCTAGAAGCAGTCTTTTGTGCTCTTGAGTCAGCATCATTCAATCAGAAGTCCTCCTAATCCAATGTCCAGACACGGAATGATTGGGGATAAAACTGTGGGCCCCATCTCTAAAATATGCTGGATATAGGCCTCCATGAAATCTTTCATAAAGTCACATCAAGAGTAAGAAGTGTTTGTTTAACCATGTTAGCTAATCCACATATTCTCAAGCCTTTATTTTCATCAGAGGGAGCCAATGAACACACCCACAGTAGTGATTAACCACACACTAGTTCATCAATAAAGACGAGCCTTTTATATTCAGGTTGATGAGTCAAGTATTGATTATGGGCAAATCTACCTAGATCAGAAGGACTTGGAGTTGCCATCTCTGGAGTATGGCCGTTTTGAATGTAATGCCAGCTGACCACTCTGTTGTATGCATTTCTGGACAGCTCCTAGAATTAAAGGTTGCACTAATTGGCACATATATAGCATCATACTGAGAATACCAAAGTGTTATAAAATAAATTACAGGCATCCTAAAAGACATCCTAAAAGATAAGTATTTTGAAAAGTTGTAGTCAATTGTGAGAAGGCAAAGTTAGACACTAACTTTAGTCTTAAGAGACCTAGCAGAAGTTCTCATTGATCTATCAAGGGAAGCTTCCCAAATTATTTCATATGTGTAAACATTTCCTTAGCACTATTCAGGAGAATTCATCTCATGTTTCTTTATATATGGACCATTGAATTATGTAATGGGCTTTGCCTTTTAATTCAGTCTTGCATAAAATACCAAAATTCTCTGTGTTGGAGCACTCTTTAAAAGAGTCACATACTCTAAGAAGTTTTATTTCTTCATCTTGTGCTTATTTACCTTTTATAAAATGTTGCTTTTGTTCTGTAGTTTGTATAGAGATAATTAGTAAAGATATAGACCAAACTAGAAGGCAGTGGCCATTCTAATGGAAGATGTTTTTGTGTTGTAAGGATTATGTTACTTTTAGAAATAAAATATTTAAAAGAAAAGGAAATAAATCTTGAATTTGAATACCTGTAATTGGGTGA